GTTCAATGCCAGAACGACGCTGGCCGGAGCCGGGGTGATGCCCTGTAACTTGCCGAAGGTGAGGGCATGAGGCCTTGTAGAGAGATCTGGGGATGCTATGCGGGGCCATCCTAATGGACAGCTGGGGTTTGCTGACACAGGACGACACTGGCCGGAGCTGGAGTGAGTCGCGTTGCTCTGTAACCTAGCAGATAGGGGGCGTGAGGCCTGGATGAGTTTGTCACAGAATAAGTCAGTTTTGGTGATCTTTGTTATGATCTGTTGGAAATCCCTTAGATACTTGAGTGTTTGGGAAATTGCGGTGGATTTCAGGAGGTCTTTAACGATCGTAGAAAAGGATTCGTAGTTTCTCATCATCTATCTGTTGAAATTCAGTAGCTTGTTCACGATCTTGGAGAATACTCTCAAGCCGAAACCAGGTAATGGCCCTGGTATTTCAATTCATTCATAAATTGTTTTTTACATGTCTTCATATGGGACGCTGGGCCCGATTCCCAGCACGTGCTGCTCCCCACGAATAGTTTGGAGCAYGCCTTAAAAAAAAAAAAAAAAAAAAAAAAAAAAAAAAAAAGGAGAGCTTCTGAGGCACAAAGAGCATGGGGACCACAGATTACCTGCCAAGGGTTCGCCATAGTACCATAGATAAGGGATTGACGGGGACCACAGATTGCCTGCCAAGTGGGCGGTGGAAGGCGTGGTTGAATTCGTTAGAACGAATAGAAACTTATATAAAAAACCTTGTCAGCAGATTCAGCACTTGACATTCGAACAGAACTCCAAAGTTCGTGATAGGAGCATGTACTTTTAACCATGTGTTTGTAAAAGTGTGACCTTGGGCTAACCATGGGTTCCAAGGGGTTCAGGACCTCACAACCCCAAGGAACACAGGTTACCTGGCAGTACTTGAGAAAACTTATCAGGCACTTTGGACAGACTCTGTGGTAACTTGTCACTGATTCGTCACTGACTCTGTGGTAACTTGTCACTGATTCGTCACTGACTCTGTGGTAACTCAGCACGAACTGGGGATGCGAGTTGTGCGTCCGCTGAGGACTTCAATCCCGGTGGATGTCACGAGCATTACGCGGGTTGAAGTTAGCTGAGCGAATGAGTACTGTATCGAATGGTGACCTGACAAGCTACATTACAACGAAACATAAACGCATCACAAACACTAGGAGTGATGCTATACTTCCGGGGATAACAAACAGATGACGATAAATCATTTAAGCAAGACAAACGATAGGAATGCCGCTATAGTCCGTCGATGTATGGTATGCACTTGTACATAACACCATTTAGCACGACATACAGCGTCTGTGGTTTCAGCAGTGCCCGAAGGGCGGCGTTCCACCTGCCAAAAAACCTGTCTGCTCTATAAAGCGCGGCAACGCCAGGGAACCTGTAGCCAGGTGAAATGATCCCATGGACTAAAAATATCATCAGATCAGAAGCCCTATGAGGTTAACATTACCTCCGCCAGCTCCCGAACTTTCAGGAGGCCGAGGCTGCCGTTGATAAATCTGATTGCCGTCCGTCGTTTCGTTTCGGCCTCCTGAAAGGTTGGAGGCCGAGTATTTGTGAACCGACAAAGGTACTAGTGGCTAAAAAAAAAAAAAAAGATTTACCTTGATCAGTTGCTTGTCGAACCTTTCTTCATCTTGCGAAAGAAAGGCCCCGGGCTGTTATTCTCGAAGACTGGCTTTCTTGTTGCGACGTCTGCATGTGAAAGAAGTGCCCTGCATTTATTTCCCTTGCATGCGCTGTAAGCAGATGATCGAGATCTTCATAAATATACATGGTCGTCATTTTCGGTCCTGGAGATGTTCACTATTCTGTAAGCATTGCGAAAGGCAAGAGCGAGTGGGTCCTCAGTACAATCTCCCAGTTCCGCACAAGTGTCATGGGATCCTTCGGCCTAACGGAAAGAAGCCACCAATTGAATGGGGTCGTCTGCAAATGGGGCAAGTGAAGGGGGTGTCTGCTCTTATAAGCACCTACCCCACCCCCGTCGTCAAATGTTTAACAAAAAACAAAAAAAAAGGAAGCATTACTATGTTCATGTTGTACTGTTATGACTTGCCGGGGGTGAAGTAACCGGACTGACGCTCCCCGGAATGAGTTAAGAGCAAGGACCATAAGGCCCTGTTTCAACAAAAAAAAAGAAGAAACGAAAGAGGAAAAAAAAGAGAAAAGATCATGGAATCGTTTCCTTTCCGCAACATCATGAAATCGTTGCATCATGGACGATTGGCAGTTGACGACGACTGCAAAAGAAGAAAATTGCCCATCGGGCAGTCGTTGTTGGCACTCTAACCTGGAGCACATTCTCTCTGGACGAAGGTCACAAATCTGCTCAGCCAGCTCCATTTTGCAGG